GGGACCGACCAGAGTGTGGGACAGACCAGAGTGTGGGACAGACCTGAATCCTCTGAACTAACCACAGTGGTGCACAAACTATTATAGTGGTTGTATGATTCTGTATATGATGTTGTTGGAGACACATGTGTAAAGAATAGAAAATATCTCCGCATGTAATTCCCCACTTATACCACCAGGGGGCCACCAGCTGCTTACAATTGTATGTCTATTTCGGGCCTCCCATCATAACATTGTATAGTGATTTTATGTAACTTTATACTTGATACTAGATTTTATACTTGCTCCCACTGCTCTGTAACACTGAAATATCCCCACTGTGGGACCAATACAGGACCTCTTAATCTTTATCTTAATCTTAACACGGTTATAAACTCAAACCAGACCATTGTGCTCCATAATTACCTCATTTGATTCACATGATTTGAAATATTTAAAAGTGTGTTGTATATTTAAGCGTCTAAATGTGTGTCTGCGTTTCCGCTTTTATCCACAGTCCGTAACAGAGTCAACAAAAGCAGCTCTGGTCTTGTTTTAGACACACACAGGTCTATTTCTGGACACATCTGCGGTGAGTCACGTCGCGGACTCGCCTCTGGATTAAATATTCAGCAGTGTTGTTTCTGTTTTGAGCTCCATCCCTTTTTCTTCAAAGCCTGGATCGCCCACTGACCTTCAGGCTGGAGATAAGGCCAGTTCAAAGCCACGGCTGCTGCCACGGCTGCTGCCACGGCTGCTGCCACGGCTGCTGCCACGGCTGCTGCCACGGCTGCTGCCACGGCTGCCCCACGGCTGCAGAGACCAGAGAGAGAGAGACCAGAGAGAGAGAGACCACAGAGAGGGACCACAGAGAGGGACCACAGAGAGGGACCACAGAGAGGGACCAGAGAGAGGGACCAGAGAGAGGGACCAGAGAGAGACCAGAGAGAGACCAGAGAGAGACCAGAGAGAGACACCAGAGAGAGAGACGAGAGAGAGAGACCAGAGAGAGAGACCAGAGAGAGAGAGACCAGAGAGAGGGACCAGAGAGGGAGACCAGAGAGGAGAGACCAGAGAGAGAGACCAGAGAGAGAGACACCAGAGAGAGAGACCAGAGAGAGAGACCAGAGAGAGAGAGACCAGAGAGAGAGAGACCAGAGAGAGAGACCAGAGAGAGAGACCAGAGAGAGAGACCAAATCAACTCTATACATGGAATTTTCTTTTTATATAAGTGTTGTATGGAATTTTTCGTTCATTTTAATTTTCTAAGATGTAGGAGGACTAATACCACAAATAGTTCAGGTTAGGCTTTTACAAAATGCCCCAATTATGTAGATTTCAGTTCCAAGCTTCAAGTAGATATAGTAACTCAAAAAGTGATCCGCCAAAGAAACCATCAAAGGGTGAATATTACAGAATTCGTGTGTATTCCTTACATGTATAAAATTATGCTCTATTTTGTTAAGTTTGCAGCAGCAGAGAAGCTTATGTGTAACTGGACAATGGGATGGGATTAAATAAATTCTCTTCTTCCCACTTCCTTTCAGGCAAAACCCATAATTGTCCCTGAACGTCCTGGATCATCACTGTCCTTAGACCCTTCTAGACCAGGACAGGGGATTATTCTAACCTGTAATCTCATGGACCATCTCTGAGTTTACACAGAGGTGACTTTCCGATGTCCTCAGTTTTAAACAGACTTTCCAGAGTTCATATAAACACATGGTCTGTCGTCTTTCCGCTAGACTCTGGACCAGGGCCGGTTCAAAGCCCACGGGCTGGAGGGGTTTGCCCACCACTGGACTAGACCAAGGGAGTCCAAACCAGTGGGGGAGGCTCCAAAATGTCCATGAGCACGTGCGCTGACATGCTGTAATCTCACTCCGAGCCGGTGGGGGTGTACCCGGAAAAAGAATTACCCAATGCTTTTGTATATGGCGTCATCTTTCCTCTCGAAAAGGGCTTTACAGGATGGTCCAAAAGTCGCTCTTGGTCCAAAGCTCTGTTCCAGATGCTGTCGATGCTGAGGGGAGTAGACCAGAGAGAGACCAGAGAGAGACCAGAGAGAGACCAGAGGGAGACCAGAGGGAGACCAGAGGGAGACCAGAGGGAGACCAGAGGGAGACCAGAGGGACCAGAGAGACCAGAGAGACCAGAGAGACCAGAGGGAGACCAGAGAGAGACTAGAGAGAGAGACCAAAGAGAGAGCAGAGAGAGACTAGAAAGAGAGAGCAGAGAGAGAGACTTGAGAGAGACCCCGCTCTGAAAGAGGACTGTGAGCTGCCTGTTCTGGAGGTTTTTTAAGAATCCTTAAATCCCACTCTTCTGGCTCCTGGAGAAGCCTTGTTCCAGCTTCTTCCCTCTGGTAGAAGATATCGTTTGCTAACAGACATGCTAACAGTTTCTATCCGCAAGTTTTAATCAGTCTGAACGAAGCACTTAAATGATCTTCACTTGTAACTTCAAACTGTTTTTATTTATCACTTTCACCGCAACAATTCTTTTACTTTTTTGGATTGTACACTGGGAACTCTTGCACACGTATTCCAATGTGGTTTTACTGCAAATCCAAATCCTAGTTGTGTTTATCCTGAAACAGCACTGGGCAGTAACGGTTGCTGCATTGCAGAGAATAATACATTTTGATTTTTCCACCATAAATGTTTTAAAAGAGTAGGTTTTATGAAAGACTATTGTAATTCTTGCTCCCAATGAAGGAAGCCATAGGAGATGCTGCGTTTCCATGACAACGGAGCATGATTCCATCCGCGCTTACATTAATAATAATGCAGATACATGAGTGTGTAGAGGTGAGGGAATGTTTAAGAGGCCAAATAGAAATGTATATGAATATTACCAGACTTCTAAATGAAAAAAACAAGAGAAAAATGCTCTTGAATGTGTTGGAGGACTCACCATTGGATTTCTCTTGTCGCTCTGTCTGTGATTCTCCACAACATGGGAGTAAAAAGTGAGCAGGCAAAGTTACTGGTGAGATCTGCGAAAAGGTGAAGCAGCTTGGAGCAAGACAATATTTTACAGTCTATGAGGAAGAAATGTTTTTAAGTGGTTGCATTTTTGCTCAGGAGTAAAAAGGCCGAGGCATCCATACATTTACTATGGGACGAACTGGTGCGGACTGGATTTAACGGACACACTTTAAGTCTAGACCTCACTTATCAACAAATAATTATGTGTTAATAAGTGTACAATGTATGGTTACATAGCTCGTTATTGATACTTATTAAGCACTTAATAGCCCTTATTCTGATCTACATGGCCTTATTCAACATCTATCTAACTACAAACTGACACTTTCCTTGTGGGTTGGGTTGACTTTTGAATGCGCTGGAAATATTTTTATTCTGCTTTTTCTTGCTGTTTTCTACCTGAGATGTTACTGCATCAACACAAACCAAGAGAAATCAGGGGAAAGTCCACTGGAGGAATGCTAACTTTTTGACAAATGCTGACGTGAGACAGGCCTCGTCTCTGACAATGTTTAAAACCAGGTTAAAGACAGTTCTGTTTAGCTGTGCATACAACTGAGGGATTTTATATTTTTATCTTTCTTTTTAATGTTCTGTGATTATTTATGATTTTAATGCTTTCTTGTTTTGTTCAGCACTTTGAATTGCCTTGTGTATGAGAAAATGGTCCGAACCAAGCGGCTTCTCCACCTCTGCTGCTGTGACATTAAGTGCTGTTGTGAAATCTTTCTGATGCTGTAAAATATTGGGACGCGACCGCCGCCATCTTCTTTGTTTCTTCTACTGTGGAAAGTGCGCACACGCCCTCTACTGGTGTCAAATGTTTTATTTTTTTCATTTTTATTTGCCGATGGTTGATGGTAGTTACGGCCGATACCGATGTTCAGCCGATCCATCTCTAGATTCATTAATTATCATTCAATAAGTTGTTAATTAGTGACTTTTGGACCAGGCGTGTCCAAACTGAGGCCTTTATGTGGTCCTCTGTCTTGCTAAGACAGAGAAGCCACACTTGTGTTAGCAAGACACAAGTTGTGGCCATACTTGGATGTGAAAGCCAGATCACGTCACACCTCTGAAGCTGAGCAGGGCAGGGCCTGGTTAGTACTGTGATGGGAGACCTCTGGGAACAGAAGGTGCCACAGTGGGGTGGCCCCATTAGAGTGTGTGTGTGTGTGTGTGTGTGTGTGTGTGTGTGTGTGTGTGTGTGTGTGTGTGTGTGTGTGTGTGTGTGTGTGTGTGTGTGTGTGTGTGTGTGAATGGTTGGTGGTGGTTGGGGCTCATGGCACAGACTGGTTGCCTCGCTTCTGTCAGTTAGCCCCAGGGCAGCTGTGGCTACAGTAGTAGTTAATCACCACTGTGTTTAGAGTGAAAGACATGTGAAGCGTCTTTGAGAGTCCTGAAAAGCTCATTATTATTATTATTATTATTATTTTTTATTTATTTTTGTTCAGTTATTGATTTTATTTGTACTTACTGACATTCGTTTTTGATTGTGGCACAAAACTCTATCAATGATGCAATTATAAGTACTGGTGAGTAGTGAAGAGAGACGAGAGAGACTCTATACATATCCCCAAAAACATTTGTGTGTTTGTGTGAAAAAAAAAACATTTTTTTTTCTTATTCTTAACCTTTTCCCCTTCAGAAATCAAGGTTGAAATAAGCAGAATCAGAAATCGTTTGCTTGAGTTAATTATAAAGATTTGGCTGTTATTGCAAAAATATGATCATTATGAAAGAATGTTCTTTGTAATAATCTTATAACACAATGTTTAGATTAGTTTTTCATGTCCAGTTAATGCCTTTGGTGCACTGCAGAGTTAGCCATAGCATCTCTAGCAAAAGTCCTGGAATGTGGAATGCTTGTCCCACATTATTATTATAAATCAATCATTAATCTTGGACTATTTCTAAAGGTTTCTAAATACGGCTTTGTGAGTGCAGGAGGATTTCTAGTATTTCTCTCGGTACAATGAGCGCTGGGCTGAGAAATGTATTTGTATTGACCTGATCCAAGGCTGTTTCTGATGCATGCTGTTGCCGTGGAAACATGTAGGAGGACCGCGGCGGCGCTCGCTGGAGCCGCGAGAGAAAAGGTGAACAAACTCGGTGGGTTTGGATGAAAACTTCTGGTTTGAAACGAGTTTATTGCTCAGGTGGAGAGACAAGAAGAGAGATGGGAGAGAAGAGAGGAGAGGAGAGAGACGGGAGGAGAAGAGAGATGAGATGAGAGATAAGGGGAGAGACTAGAGGTGAAAGACGAGAGGAGAGACTGAAGGAGACGAGAAGAGGTGAGACGAGATGAGAGTAGTGGGAGAGAAGAGAGACGAGGGGAGAGACCAAAGAGGAGAGATACGGGAGAGGACAGACGAGAGGGGAGAGAGGAGAGGAGAGAGGGTAGAGATGGGAGGAGAGAAGAGAGACAAGAGAGGAGAGGAGAGGATAGAGACGAGAGAGATGAAAGAGAAGGGAGACGAGAGGAGAAAGACGAGAGAGTCGAGAGGACAGACGAGAGAGAGGAGAGAGACGATAGAGACGAGAGGAGAGAGAGTCGAGAGGACAGATGAGAGAGAGGAGAGAGACGATAGAGACGAGAGGAGAGAGAGTCGAGAGGACAGACGAGAGAGAGGAGAGAGACGATAGAGACGAGAGGAGAGAGAAGTCGAGAGGACAGACGAGAGAGAGGAGAGAGACGATAGAGACGAGAGGAGAGAGAGTCGAGAGGACAGATGAGAGAGAGGAGAGAGACGATAGAGACGAGAGGAGAGAGAGTCGAGAGGACAGATGAGAGAGAGGAGAGAGACGATAGAGACGAGAGGAGAGAGAGTCGAGAGGACAGACGAGAGAGAGGAGAGAGACGATAGAGACGAGAGGAGAGAGAGTCAAGAGGACAGATGAGAGAGAGGAGAGAGACGATAGAGACGAGAGGAGAGAGAGTCGAGAGGACAGATGAGAGAGAGGAGAGAGACGATAGAGACGAGAGGAGAGAGAGTGGAGAGGACAGATGAGAGAGAGGAGAGAGACGATAGAGACGAGAGGAGAGAGAGTCGAGAGGACAGACGAGGGAGGAGAGAGACGAGAAAAGAGTCAAGAGGACAGACGAGAAAGAGGAGAGAGACGATAGAGACGAGAGGAGAGAGAGGACAGACGCGAGAGAGACGAGAGGACAGACGAGAGAGGAGAGGGATGAGAGGACAGACGAGAGAGATAAGAGAGAGAGTAGAGAGGCAAGAGAGAAATGAGAGAGAGGAGAAAAACAGAAAACAATGCAGCTGGTTCCTTGCTGTGAAACAGTTCTATCAGTAGTTTTCTGTCTCTGTCATGTCTTTGAGCTCAGCCAATCAGCTCGCAGCACAAAGCGTCCAATAGTGACTCCCCGAGCTCTCTCTAACAAGAGGATAAAGATGACATGATATCTGATAAGATGAAGGGAGCATGTTGTAGTTAGAGCTTGTAGGACTTTACAGAGAATCAAGCAGTTGGAACACAGGAAATGCAATAATAACATTTAGTAAAGTCAGGACTAACTCTCTTCTTCTTCTTATATTCATCTTCGGTTGTTTTGTTTTTCTTTCTTTCCAGCTCTGCTTCTCACACACTACACAGTCTCCCCTGGTAATCTTACCCAGCATGCCTCTGACTCGGCTGCTGCTTCCACTTTGGCAGCCTGATAGAGCCTGCTGTGTCTGTCTCTCTGGACTCTCTCTGAACTCTATGGACTCTCTCTGGTCTCTCTCTGGTCTCTCTCTGGTCTCTCTCTGGTCCCTCTCTGGTCTCTCTCTGGTCCCTCTCTGGTCCCTCTCTGGTCCCTCTCTGGTCCCTCTCTGGTCTCTCTCTGGTCTCTCTCTGGTCTCTCTCTGGTCCCTCTCTGGTCTCTCTCTGGTCTCTCTCTGGTCCCTCTCTGGTCTCTCTCTGGTCCCTCTCTGGTCTCTCTCTGGTCTCTCTCTGGTCCCTCTCTGGTCTCTCTCTGGTCTCTCTCTGGTCCCTCTCTGGTCTCTCTCTGGTCCCTCTCTGGTCCCTCTCTGGTCCCTCTCTGGTCCCTCTCTGGTCCCTCTCTGGTCTCTCTCTGGTCTCTCTCTGGTCCCTCTCTGGTCCCTCTCTGGTCTCTCTCTGGTCTCTCTCTGGTCCCTCTCTGGTCTCTCTCTGGTCCCTCTCTGGTCTCTCTCTGGTCCCTCTCTGGTCCCTCTCTGGTCTCTCTCTGGTCTCTCTCTGGTCCCTCTCTGGTCCCTCTCTGGTCTCTCTCTGGTCCCTCGCTGGTCTCTCTCTGGTCTCTCTCTGGTCTCTCTCTGGTCCTTCTCTGGTCTCTCTCGGGACTCTCTGTGACTCAGGGTAAAAGAATAGTGCTGTGGTATGTGCTGCCACTGAATGGAAACAATGTCCTGGTGCCAACAGGACCAGAGAGCACCGAGCACCAGCAGAGAAGGAAACTTGGACTGAGCTGCCGTGGGGATTAAATTAGGGGATTTTGTGCAGGGAATAAAAATGTGTGAGATTCACTGAGAAGTGAGAAAAATGGTTTGGAGTGTTTTGTCAACAACAATATCAACAAAACATTAAAACAAATTCACTTCATTTACAGGTCTAAAACAGGTCTAGACCAGGTCTAATCCAGGTTTTTTAAGCAAAAATGGAAACACAATCGTTACTGAGCGCGAGGAGTTTACTTTTACATGTGAGTCGATAGGAGCCAGATCTCTATACAGTATCGATCTCTATACAGTACAGAGAAAAAGTTTGGACACACTTTCTCCTTCACTGAGTGTCTTTTCATGACTATTGACTGTAGACCCGCACCAGGCTGAGTAAGGGCTGTTTGACCAATAAGGAGAGTGATGGTGCTGGGCCACATGACCTGGACTCCACAGTCACCGGACCTGAACCCAGTCCAGATGGTTTTGGACCTGAACCCAGTCCAGATGGTTTTGGACCTGAACCCAGTCCAGATGGTTTTGGACCTGAACCCAGTCCAGATGGTTTTGGGGCTGGACCACAGAGTGAAGGAGCCAACGTGTGCTAAGCATCATGGGAACTCCTTCAAGACTGTTAGAGACTATTTCAGGTCCTGTTGAAGCTCATCCAGAGAATGCCAAGAGTGAAGCAGTATCAGAGCAAAAGGAGCTACTTTGAAGAACCAGAATATAACACATATTTGCACTTGTTTCATACTTTTTTTTTTAGCACGTACATAATTCCACATGAGTTAATTCATAGTCTTGATGCCTTCAGTGTGAATCCACAATTTTCATAATCATGAAAATATAAAAAAAACTCTTTGAATGAGAAGGTGTGTCCAAACTTTTGCTCTGTACTGTACGTCTGGTGAAGACATTAACATGTTGTTGTTGTTTTTAGTTGTTCTTGTACAACGCTTTGGGGACAGTTCTCTATAAATACATTTGACCTTGACTTTTGTCAAACCCATGGGTTTGAGCACAGATGTGGAGAGACTGTATGCGGCTAAAGCAGGTCTAAAGCAGGTCTAAAGCAGGCCTTAAACAGGTCTTAAAACAGGTCTAAACCAGGACTAAACCAGATCTAACCCAGGTCTAAAACAGAGGTCTTAAAAGGTCTTAAACAGGACTAATCTCTCTCATTTCAAGCCCAGGTCTGTTTTTAGGTAACAATGTTGTAACATGTTGTAAAGCTCAAAAATGTAGATTAGAGCTGCAACTAACGATTATTTTGTAATCGATTAATCTATCGATTATTTTTACGATTGAATTGTGTAGAAAAAAAATATTTTTTCATCACAAAAAGCTAAAGTGGCAACACTCGAGGACGTATTGATGGCGTAAACTTAAAGTAAATGTTTGTAACAGGCTCTTTGTGCTAATTCTGCTATCTGATTGTATGAGACAGACAGATATTCATGAAATTATAAAAACAAAGTCGGTTTTAATCAAAAATACTACATTTTCATGTCATTTTTGCTCTGTTTGAGTCCGTGTGAACCAGAAAACGATTAATCGATTACTAAAATAGTTGTCGACTATTTCAATAATCGATTAGTCGTCGATTAATCGATTAGTTGTTTCAGCCCTAATGTAGATTCATCAGAATGATTCCAAACACTGAGAACCAAAAGTTTGCTGAGAGTTGGTCATGTGACCCACATTTGCCTGCAGAGAGATAGTGGTACAGTCGAGTCTTTATTCGATATTATGACAGATAAAACAGAGGAAATGGTCGTCTCCTCAGGGCAGGACCCCAGACAGGACCCCAGTCTGGTCCACAGATAACAATAGTGTTTTACTCAGGACGCGATATATTCACTGAACAATGACTATCTCTCATTTAGAAATAACTTTCTCAGCTGCAGATTCTACCAAGTACTGCCTTATTCCAGACTATTTTCTATAGTAATAATACACAATCAACACTAGCTCTAGATAGATTCAATTTAATTCAATTCATTTTATTCTTGTATAGCCCTAAATCACAACAGTCCACAGGTGTAGATGAAGAGGGCCAGGTTCAGAGGTCCCGTTGTCGCGCCATGAAACAGACAATGGGACAATGGGTGAAAAGCAGAGCAAATGGGAAAGAGAGACCAAAGAGAGACCAAAGAGAGAGAGACTGGAGAGACTAGAGTGAGAGAGACCAGAAAGAGAGAGTAGTTCCCTGAGTCCCTTTCTTTGCTGATGCAGGAGGGACACATTTATGAACCAACGTCTCCTCTGTGTGTGTTTTTACTACACTTCCTGTTTTCGGACTGTTTGATTCTCTGATCTGTGTTGGTGAATTGACAACGTTGTAAAGTCCTGTGTCTTGTCCTTGCTCCAGATCGTGTCGAACGTGCTGATCTTCACGTGCACGAACATGGTGGGCGTGTGCACACATTACCCGGCGGAAGGATCCCAGAGACAGGCCTTTCAGGAGACCAGGGACTGCATCCAGGCCCGACTGCACTCACAGAGAGAGAACCAGCAGCAGGTGAGGGCCCAAGGACTCTCTCTCTGGTCTCTTTCTGGTCTCTCTTTGGTCTCTCTCTCTGGTCTCTCTCTCTGGTCTCTCTCTCTGGTCTCTCTCTCTGGTCTCTCTCTGGTCTCTCTCTCTGGTCTCTCTCTGATCTCTCTCTGGTCTCTCACTCTGGTCTCTCTGTCTCTCTCTGGTCTTTTTTTGTCTCTCTTTCTGGTCTATCTCTGGTCTCTCTCTCCATCTTTCTCCATCTCTAGTCTCTCTCTCTGATCTCTCTCTCTGGTCTCTCTGTCTCTCTCTCTGGTCTTTTTCTGTCTCTCTCTGGTCTATCTCTAGTCTCTCTCTGGTCTCCCTCGCTCACCAGTCTCTAACGTAAAACATCTGGTATTAATCAGTTCTATAAAATAACTTTCAAGTTAGATATTTATTCAGTAGATGCAAAACAACATTCTCCAACGGCCTTTGTAATCAGCCACTTCCAGTCTCGCTCAGATCAGGTCAGAAATCTGCAGTTAGTAAAGGACTCAGACCAGATTGACCCTTCAAAAGAGCACCTGGTTCTGGTTTAACAGGGCCAGTGAAAATGCTCCCAATCAGAGTTAGGGTTAGAGTAGAGTAGAGTAGAGTAGAGTAGAGTAGAGTAGAGTAGAGTAGAGTAGAGTAGAGTAGAGTAGAGTAGAGTAGAGTAGAGTAGAGTAGAGTAGAGTAGAGTAGAGTAGAGTAGAGTAGAGTAGGTCTAAAAGAAGCCAATTCGAACATAAGCTAGCTAGAGTCAATGTTGGGGTTAGCTTTACATCGTAACAAGGACAGATTTGTTGCTAACATTTTTGCTAAAACCAACTGGAGTTTCCCCCTCGAATGAAGGATTGTGATTGGTTGAAGTACGAGGAGTTTACTTTTCAATGTAAGTCACGAGGAGTCAGAGCGAGTTGGAGCAAAACTTCTTCCAAACTTTCTACAGAACCTTAACCCCCCCTCCCCCCTCCCCTTTAATGATGACTCGATGATGAACTGTCCCCTCAGGAACGTCTGCTGCTGTCGGTGCTTCCCACGCCACGTTGCCATGGAGATGAAAGCCGACATCAACGCCAAACAGGAAGACATGATGTTCCATAAGATCTACATCCAAAAGCACGACAACGTGAGGTAAAGAAGGTCCAGCGGACACAAATATTCAAAACACAAACATCGTTTTAGCTTTTGGGCTATTTCTGTTTAGCCCAAAAGCAGAACAGAAAAAAAAAAAATACATAATTTCAGTAGTATCAAAAGCTATGCACAAAACTATTGACATGACTCCTCTCACAGCAGTGCAATACTTATCCAATTGTTGAGCGTCCAAAAAGTCAAGCTAAATAACGAAATCAAAAACAGACAGCAGTTAGACAGGTCAACTCCTTCCAAATCTTAATATTCTGTTCCCTGTCGAAATCATTCAACCACATTAATCGACTCTGACGTTATTTTTAAACTTCTATCCTTAATGTCAGATCTCTATGTCACAAATCATTTTTAATTAATAATTTTATCACTTCAGTCCTGTTCACTCTTCATCTGTCTCTGTGCTGTAAGCACTAAACACCAACACGCTCCACTGTGAATGTGGAAACACCGGTGAAGCACTGACTTCAGACCAATCAGATGAACATATATATCATAGAAATCAAGTGGACCTAGAGAGCGGCTTATTTGTTTGGCTACAGCAGAATATGTTTCATGGCCGCATTGTTTGTTCATACAAAACGCAAAACTTTGAGTTATGGGTCTTACCTTATAAATACCTTATAAATGACCTGCACAGTCCACTTCGGTTCAGACCAGTTCCATGTTTAAGTCCAGTTAATAGTTTGAGCGTAGATATGTAATCCTCCATTTGGAAATGAGTCCAATGAGTTTTAAAAAGCAAAACAAAACGCGTGTGTCCTTTATAAACTCCTCTGTTTTGCTGCAGCCGGCTGCATCCGATTTCTAAAATCAACCGTCTTACACTTCACCTCTCTTTCTTATCATTCCTATAGTCATTGAAAAATTACCCTATGTGCATTTTAGATTATGTAAAAATGTGTTATATGTATGTTAGCCAAACCTGTTGCTGTCCTTAGCAGATAAACCAGGAAGAGCAAGGAGCTTATCGATGGAATTGTATGCAGCCGACTTCTGCGCTCACATGCGCTCCTCTGAGGCCTCACGGTGATACAAGCTGTGGTAGAGTGTGATTAAGACCCATATTTGTTTCAAAAACACAATTTATGAGCCATCCTCTCAACTGTAGACATGTAGATTGTAAAGGAAATATGTTTTACATCAGCCAATGACATTTGAGAGGTTTTCTCATCCTCCCTTCTCTCATGACAACACGTTCGTTGTGCGTCTTGAGTAACGCGCAGTAACGGAATGTCGGAAATGATAACGGCGTTATAGTTACTGTCAAAGTAATTAGTTAGATTACTCGTTACTGAAAAAAGTAACGGCGTTAGTAACGCCGTTACTAGAAACGCCGTTATTCCCATCACTGGTCGTAACTGTCTGATATCTGGTCACATGTGCTACAAATTCAACACATCTGTAGTATAACCAGTTTTAGTCCCACTCTAGTTTAGTGCTGACTAATTAACAGCTAAAAAAGTGCTAATTAGTGTATAATAACTGAGCACAAGTCATATCGGCCGCCATCTTGGATCAGCGCGGCTTGGTTAGCGCTAATTAGCATTTCATCTGCTGTTTTTTAGAGACGGGGAAACTAAAGTGTTTTTACCCAAGTTTTTACTCCAGAGCTGAATTTAGAGAAATTATCGACGTGAAAATGACACTTTGAAATTTCTGAATGTCTCTTTGTTTCAGGTGCTTTGACTCTGACTGGAACACTGCAAAAAGTGAAGAAAAATAGAACAAATATTGTTCTATTAGTGTATATTTTTGTGCATTGTGACTGAGCCTTAGAAACCAGATTTGCCATTAGGACAAAACAAAATGATCTCGTCAAAATGTCTCGCTTGGAACGAGACTAAATGACTTTGTCCCATTGGAGAATCTGGTTTTAAGTCAGAATCTACTCAAATTAAGATAAAAACACTCAATTCACACATTCATTACCTCATATTTCATAATTTTTTCCGTGAATATTTAGTTTTCTGTTGATTAATTGCTCCGACTGACTTCACTATTGAACCAATGAATGAAAAAATGTGCGTTTGTGTTTTCTACATATTTCGAATGTAATTTTGATGCTTTTTCTGTTTTCTAAAACGTCATCAGGCAGGAGTGAAACTATGCAACGCTGCCTTTAAAAAAAAAGTGGCTTTATTTTTTTTCTCTGAGGATGGAACCAGCAGCTTTCGTACGGCTTTACTTTGAGGCAGTTACTCTAGATTTTATTTATAAACCATTGGTCGAAAGCTTTGTCTACAGACTTTAGTTGATTTGTGTTGAAAGAATGAACGAGGAGGAGATTGACGTCACACACACGTTTTAAGATTCATATCTGTAAAAATAAATTACTACTAAAGCTGTTTTTTGTGTGTGTTTTTAGTGTGTTGAAATAACATTGGCTTTTGTTGTATCAGGTTTTGGTTTTGTTAGATTTAGAATAGACACAATTTAGACACATTCAGAACATACACACATTTAGCATTATGTAAGTATTTCATGTCTCGTCATCAATAAAGGGCCCTAATCTGTCATCAATAAAGGGCCCTAATCTGTCAGAAGGCTTTAATAAAACATGTTCTTTTCCAATACTTCTTTAACTGATGACAGTAGTTCAGAGATATTTTAATTTCAACATTACTTTTCCAGCCTCTAAATATTGTTATTGTTTTCATTTCGATGTCCCGCCCTCCACCGTTTCACCAATCAGAAAGTCTGTGATCCGGGCGCCAGAACTCACAGCGTGGAGCTAATCTCACTGGTAAAGTACCATGTGGCGCAGAACTAAAAAAGGTCTCGTTATGATTCTCAAATCATTAACGACAAAACAAGGAATAAAACCAGGATTTCTATCTTTGTGAAAAAGGTGTTGGTTATAGATTTGTTTGATAAAACAAATTGTTGTTCCATTTGATAAAACTCTTGTCTATTCAGCTGTTATGGTCCCAGCGGGATTCGTCTGCATATCTGGCAACCTGAGTCAGGGAGAGTGGGAGAGGCTGCAGTACCACTTTTGGCCACATTTTTTACAAACTTCTCCTTTAATTAACAGTAGTTTATCTCAGGGGAATTCGCCAACAACACTTTGACATTGGTCCATCAGAGACCGAGACCAAGACTTTTATTTTGTCCTCATTAAATCAATATTATTTTAGCATGTTCTGTTTTTCAGGTTCTCTCTCACTTCACACGTGACTTTGTTTTTTTACTATATGCCTTTGACACATGGTATAGCTGCAGTTTGATGGTTAAAGTGATGGAGATGCAGGAAGATTTCAGTTCCAAGCTAATAGTCAATAAATTAAACCAAAAAGTGATCCACCAAATGCTTGAGGAAACCATCAAAGGGTCTTAAACTCATGACCAGGTGTGACCGGGACCATGTGAAGGACTTCTTTCTGGTTGAAAAGTGTGAGTTTTGGGCCCCGGGTCTGTGGCTCTGTAAACAGCCTCAAATAAAGAATGAGCTGCTGCTGTTTAGACCCAAGGCTGAAAATCAATCTGACAACTCCAACTCCCACAATCCCCTGGGGCCATCAGCAGCCTGCCATTTATTACCCCCTCTGTGTGTGTGTGGGTGTGTGTTAGGAAAGAGCAGATTTAGTGTTAAAAGCCCAAAACACAGAAAATAGTGTAACATTTATGATTTTTGAGTACTTTAGTGGCATTTTCACGACACTGCCGGGTTCGAGATCTCTCTAAATCATACTCATACTTTTATTTTAATATTTATCTTTTTAGCACTGCAGCAGCAAACTTTAACCAAAACAAATTAAAAGCCACTGAAGGTGTTTTTTTGCTTGGCTCTGACGCAGAGAAGAGAAAACAAAATGTCCAAATGTTTGCATGTTCTCTCTGTGTAAGTGTCCCTTGGTTTCTCTGGTTTCAACTAAAAACATGTACAATAGTTGTTCATTGTCCTTTGCATTTGACGCTTAAACTGTTGGTTTTCTCTGTGATTCAAATGCACCAAACACAGGGAGAACATGCAAACACAGTCAACTCATATGTCACGTGACATCAACATATGTCACGTGACATCAACATATGTCACGTGTGAAGTCGGAGCAACAAGGACAGCTGTGTGTTATGTAACATTTTCTTTATTCTACTTTAAATAACTGCAGCTGAAACCGGGACTGTCCGAGAGAGACCTCTGTCCGAGAGAGACCTCTGTCCGAGAGAGACCTCTGTCCGAGAGAGAGACCTCTGTCCGAGAGAGACCTCTGTCCGAGAGAGAGACCTCTGTCCGAGAGAGACCTCAGTCCGAGAGAGAGACCTCAGTCCGAGAGAGAGACCTCAGTCCGAGAGAGACCTCTGTCCGAGAGAGAGACCTCTGTCCGAGAGACCTCTGTCCGAGAGAGAGACCTCTGTCCGAGAGAGAGACCTCTGTCCGAGAGAGACCTCAGTCCGAGAGAGAGACCTCAGTCCGAGAGAGAGACCTCAGTCCGAGAGAGACCTCTGTCCGAGAGAGAGACCTCTGTCCAAGAGAGAGACCTCTGTCCAAGAGAGAGACCTCTGTCCGAGAGAGAGACCTCAGTCCGAGAGAGACCTCTGTCCGAGAGAGACCTCTGTCCGAGAAAGACCTCTGTCCGAGAGAGAGACCTCTGTCCGAGAGAGAGACCTCTGTGAGAGAGAGACTTCTGTCCGAGAGAGAGACCTCAGTCCAAGAGAGACCTCTGTCCGAGAGAGAGACCTCTGTCCGAGAGAGAGACCTCTGTCCGAGAGAGAGACCTCTGTCCGAGAGAGACCTCTGTCCGAGAGAGAGACCTCTGTCCGAGAGAGACCTCTGTCCGAGAGAGAGACCTCAGTCTGAGAGAGACCTCTGTCCGAGAGAGACCTCTGTGAGAGAGAGACCTCTGTCCGAGAGAGACCTCTGTCCGAGAGAGACCTCTGTCCGAGAGAGACCTCTGTCCGAGAGAGAGACCTCTGTCCGAGAGAGAGACCTCTGTGAGAGAGAGACTTCTGTC